CCCGCATCATTGTGACGAGGGGCTGATACAAGCCTTGCTCTCGCACCACTGCTGTGGTCCCCACCTACCCCCTTGGGCCCGTGGGCTGGGGAAGTTCCAGGTTTGGTTGGTGGTCCCCCCCTACTATACATACAGTAGTGAGAGGATGAGATAGGGGCTGATCCGACACCGTACTATCACCAAAAAATTGGAGAAGTTCCTTGAAAGATGCGTCCGCGGTGGCATTCAGCACGTGAAAGAAATTTTGGGACCCACAGACCCGACATTTTAGGGGCTTTTCCTACACATACGCCAAAAAGGGCTCCAGCAGCACAGCGCGAACAACCAATGGTGGACTAACAAAAAAAAATAAAAAATCAAAGCGGCCTACTTTCAGGGGCAGGGGTAGGAGGTCGGGCGCTTTTGGAAATCCCTTCGCCCAACCCGGCACAATTCCTTCCCGTGCTGCCACGCAGGAGGCCGAGAGAAGAAACAGCCAGTTTTTAATCTCAAGGCCTGCTCGCCGCGGAAACGCGTGGGATCCTTTTTTTTTTCCAGAAAATACCCTTACTATGAGTTGTCGGATCAGACCCCCCTGCCAGCACCTGACCATTTGATCATCCCAATGTATTGCCTAACCGGTCCCCCCTATGAGACACCCTCCCACCCTTACTCATCATCACAATCCCCGGCGCATCCCTACTCCCAAGGTCGTACCTGATTATACCCAGGATCATCACCCATTCTAGTGATCTTTGACCAGAGAGGGGCTGCTCCTACCAACCCGGTTAGCAGACACTACTCGCCAATGATGTTCAAAAAAAAAAAAAAAAAACCCCAACGACATTAGAACCATTGTACCCCCGCTCGAAGGGAAGGGTTATTACAGACCCTCGAATATCAGTTCCAACCCAACTGATAGTGGTGTCTGCTCTTATCAGCAGCACTAACACTGGCGGGGGCTTTTAAAAAAAAAAAAAAAAAAAAAAAAAAATCAGTATGGACAAACGAATACAAACGGCATCCTGTACTTGGTCATTGCACCCCCTTCAAAGACCCAACTAAAATACTGGCGCGAAGTAGCTGAGCATACCGGCTCCTGCACTGACGCAGACCTGCGAACAGAAGGGGATCTCCCTGCTCCGTCCTCCATCGATCCTCCTGTTCATCCCATAGATGAGATCATGTGGCCACTCCCCTCTGCTCATCCATGCATGCCCGAATTCCTGGACAGCAAACGGCTGTCCCTCTTCATTCAGCAGGTAGGGGTTTTCAAAGAGGCTTTGCAATAGCCGCTGGTCATACTGCAAAGGAGGTGGTCTCTTTTGATGGAGAACTTGTTGACCTCTGTATTATGAAGATCACTATTGGCACAGAACTACAATCGGAATACTCATTCCCCAAGCGCTAGCACCTCGCGGCCCGCGGATGGCAAGGCCCGCCCGCCAGGAACCGCGCGAGCTTCAGGGTTATGGTGGCCTCCCAGGCGCCCATGACCACGGAACTTGAGCATCGGCGAACCCCG